AGGCTTCAGAGGCTGTGGGACATAGGGTCGCAATAAGTTTCAGGTGCCTTGATCGCATATAACAATAACAGCAGCAGCACAACAACATGAGATACAGAAAGTGTTCACACACTTAACATAAAGGGGGATCAAAGGCCTTCCAGAAAGGATGAAAGAAAAACTTGCTCTGGTGATATTAAAACTCAACCTTTATGTAAGCACCTTTTATAGCATTATATATTTGTTACACTGAACTCTGGCTCTTTTCCCAACTCACCTGACCACATAAGAGTCACCTAATGATAGAGAAGAAGTCAGTCTCAGTTTCATACCTGATACAGCATCTGAATCTTCTCCATGAACAAGCTTCTTAAGCTTCTAACTAACCAGGTCCAACAAGGTAACAGGTGTCTACAGAAAAACAAATGTTTTCAAGTATATTTTATTTTCTCTTAAGGAATTTAACATAGAAGATTTTCACTATATCTTACCAATGAGTAGGAGGGTTGCAGAGAGAGAGGTGAGCAGAGGGAGGTGGCAGAAGAAGAGCTCTGAAATTACCAAGGGCATGAATATTTGGGATTTCCCAAAATTCTGTTTTCTACTTTCATGTATCTGCAACCGATTTAATCAATCACTGCTAAAATGTTTTCTCCAGAATAGTAAAAATTTATACTTCCATAGCATCATGGGTTTAAATAAGGTTCCTATGTAAATGTGCATCACCATTTGGTCAATCCTGGCTCACGGCAACCCAGCAGGACAGAGCGGAAGTGCCCTGCTTGGTTTCCAAGGGGTTATCTTCACAGAAGCAGACGCCAGCAGCTCGTTCCAAATGAGCGGCTCATGATTGACAACGATAAACCTGTATTTGCTTTTCACTTAGCTGCTGAGCACTAACCCCTGCACCATTGCGACTCCTTCCATATGTAAATAACATCTTGAAGACACTTTAACCTATTGCCTTCCTAAATTGAGTACACCATCGTTTTCCAATGTTGCTTTAACACCAAAACCCAAGCTGGTTATGAATCACAGGGTTCCTCCATCATGTTATAAGGCTATCTATACATATTTGCAGTAGAAGATGGACCATCTTTCTCCTGAGGAGTGATTGGTGGATTTCAACTGCTGACCTTTTGATTAGCAACTCAACATAAATCCCAGAATAGAATATGTAACCATGGAAATCATCTCCAACTAATACGATGACAGCAGGTACTTCCTAGCCCAGGGAGTCCTGACAGTGATTTGCATTCTCACCCCCAACTGACCCAGAACATCTTATTCTACTCCGTCCCTTGCTCACTCCTTCCTCATTCATTCCTCAGTACTCAATTCCACATTATTCCAGAGTCTCTGCTCTAGCAAGGCATTTTTTAAAATACCTTAAACTATTGCCTCTACCCTGTGCCTATACCTTTGACTCTCTCTCACTCTTCTAGTCTTTCCTCCAATCTCACTCTAACAGTAATGCTCATTATGATCACCCTAAATACTACTATAAAATGCTACCTACACTTAACCTAGTCATTTTTTAACAATCTTCAGCAATATTTTGTTTGCATGTTATAATAAGGCATTGCTCGATAAAATCTCCATTTTGTTAGATCACCTTTCTTGGGAATAGGAACGAATATGGGTCTCTTTCAGTTAGTTGGCAAGGGAGATGTCATCCAAATTTTCTGGAATAGATTGATGAGCATACCCAGGGCTGTACATGTCAACTGGTAGCCCATCCATTCCTGGGGCCTTATCTTTTGCTAGTGCCTTCAAGGCAGCTTGAACTTTCCCCTTCACTACCACTGGCTCCTGATCATATGGTACTTTCTGAAATATATCTGTGTCAGCCAGTTCTTTTAGGTTCTGAAACTCTGTATTCCTTCCATCTTCTTTTAATTATTTCCTTAATAATTCAAGATCTTGCCTATAACATTTGTCAGTATTGTTAACTCGAGACCTGAATTTGCTTTTTAGTTCTTTCAGCTTGAGAAGTGCTGAGCTAGTTTCTTCTCAGTTCCAGCTCTGTCCATTGTGTTATAAAACTTTGCTTTGTCTTCTTAAGCTCCTTTTGACAGAACATTGATAGAGAACTGCCAGAAGAATAAGATGGGTTAAGAAGAGGCTAGAACAGGGATGATATTACACAGTTCCTGGTTAAAAGCAGAGAATATCAGAAGAATGTCTATTCATGCTTTATTGACTATGCAAAGACATTTTACTGTGTGAATCATAACAAATTACAGCTAACATTGAGAAGAATCCCAGAACACTTAATAGTGCTAATGTGAAACCTATACCTACTAGATGAAGAGGCTGTTATGTTTAACAGCTGAAGGGAATACTGTTAGAATTGACCCATAGCTGACCTTCCAGTGAGTTTTCAGAGGCTGTTAATGGCACGGGAGGAGACTGCCCACCCTTCTCTTGAGGAGCAGCTGATGGCCTCAAACTGCATGTCATCAGGAATGCAGTGCAGCTTCTTGACGCTAGGCCACCAGAGCACTACCCGGTTTAAAATTAAGAAAGGTGTGTATCAAGTTTGATACACATACCTATTAAATATGCATGCTGAACAAATAATTTGAGAAGCTGAACTCTATGAAGAAGAATGTGGTATCAGGATCAAAGAAAGACTTATCAACAACTGTGTTATGCAGATGATACAACCTTGCTTGCTAAAAGTGGGTACTGGAAACAATTGCTACAGAAGATCAATGACTACAGCCTTCAATATGGATTAAACTGCAGCATCAAGAAAACAAAATTCTCACCCCTGGACCAGCAGACAACAACATGCTACATGGAGAAAAGAATGAAACTGAC